TTTTGCTCTACTCCTATGAATCAATGAGTTAAGAGATCTGCAGTAAGTTTTCCTTGATTGTCTCTCCTTTCCCAAACTCTATTAGTCATGTAAGACATGACGTGACTTTGATTTGCGACTCTGTAATGCACTTCAATCAATCAATAAACATTTATAAAGCTCCTGCTATTTGCTAGGCACTGTGCTAAGCACTGGGATATAAAAAGAAGCAAAAGACAATCCCTGTTCTCAAAGAGCTTATAATATAATGGAAGAGACAAATATACACAAAGCAAGCTATATACAGGATAAATAAGAAATAGTTAACAGAGGGGAAAGCAATAGAATTAAAAAGGGATAAGGAAGACTTCCAATAAAAGATGAGATTTTAGATGAGACTTAAAGAAAGCCAGGGAGGTCAGCTATCAAGGAGGAGGAGGGAGAGCATACCAAGCATGGGGGACATTTAGAGAAAATATCCAGAGCCCAGAGATGTAGTGTCTTGCTCATGGAACAGCCAAGAGCCCTGTGTCATTGGAACAAAGAGTACCTATCAGGGAGTAAAATGTAAGAAAACTGGAAAGGTAGGAGGGGGCTAGTCTATAAGGCTTTCAATGCCAAACAGATCATTTTGTATTTGATCCTGGAGGCAACCAGGGAATTTACTGAACAGTGGGGTGACATGGCTGGTCTTGAGCTTTAGGAAAAATCACTTTGGTGACTGAATGGAAGATGGATTGGAGTGGGAAGAAAGCAGACCCACCAGTAGGTTACTGCAATAATCCAAGCATAAGGTGATTAGGGCCTATACTAGGATGATGGCAGTGTCAAAGAAGAGAAGGGGGTGTATTGAAAAGATGTTGCAAAGGTGAAATCAACAGGCCTTGGAAACAGACTGGATATTGCAGGGGGGAAAGGGGGGGGTTGGGAGAGAATGGGTTGGAAGAGAGAATTAGGAGTCCAGGTGATTCCTAGGTTATGAGTCTGAGGGACTAGAAAGAAGGAAGATGGTATTGTCCTCTACGGTACTAGCGAAAGTAGAAGTGGGAGGTGGGAGGTGGGAGGAGGGGAGTATTAGAGAGAAAGACAATGAGTTCCGTTTTATAGAAATGTTGGGTTTAAGGTGTTTACAGGACATCCAGTTCAAGATGTCCAAAAGGCATTTGGAGATGTGAGACTGGAGGTCAGCAGAAAGGTTGGGGCAGAATAAGTAAATGGGAGAGTCATCAGCACAGATATGGTAATTAAATCCTTGGAAGCTAATAAAATTACCAAGTAAATATTGATAAGATAAATGCAAATCAAAACAACTCTGAGATACCACATCACACCTATCAGATTGGCCAACATGACAAAACAGGAAAATGATAAATGTTGGAGAAGATGTGGGAAACCTGGAACACTAATGTACTGTTGGTGGAGTTGTTCAATGATACAACCATTTTGGAGAGCAATTCAGAACTATGCTCAAAGGGCTATAAAAATGTGCATACCCTTTGACCCAGCAATAGCACTTCGAGGGCTATATTCCAGAGAGATCATACAAATGAGAAAAGGACCCACATGTACAAAAATATTTATAGCAGCTCTTTTTGTGGTGGCAAAGAATTGGAAATTGAGAGGATGCCCATCAATTGGGGAATGGGTGAACAAGTTGTGGTATATGAATGTAATGGAATACTATTGGGCTATAAGAAATGATGAACAGGCTGACTTCAGAAAAACCTGGAAAGACTTGTATGGACTGATGCTGAGTGAAGTGAGCAGAACCAGGAGAAAAACGGCGTACACAGTAACAGACAATGGTGTGCGATGACTAATATTGATAGACTTAATCCTTCTCAGCAATACAAGGATTTAAGACATATCCAAAGGCCTCTTGATGGAAAATGCTATCCACATCCAAAGAAAGAACTATGGAGTTTGAATGCAGATCGAAGCATACCATCTGCTATTTTTTTTCTTCTGTTGTATTTTGTTTCCTCTTTGTGGTGGTTCCTCCTGTTGGTTCTAATTCTTACTTACAACATAGCTAACGTGAAAATATGTTTAATAGGAATGTATATGTATAGCCTACATCAGATTGCATGCCATCATGGGGAGGGAGGTGGGGAGGAAGGGGGAGAAAAATTTAAAACTCAAAAGCTTATGGAAGTGATTGCTGATAATTCAAAATAAATTAATTAAAGAAAAAAAATCACCAAGTAAAGTAGTATAGAGAGAGAAGAGAAGAGGGCCCAGGAGAGCACTCTGAGGGACGCCTACAGTTAGAGGACATGATCTGGAGGAGGATCCAACAAGGGACACTGAGAAGTGGTCAGAGAGGAGAAGAACCAGGAGAGAGTGCTTATCTTGAAAACCTAGAGAAAAGAGTATCAAGGAGGAAAGAGTGATCAACAGTGTCAAAAGCTGCTGTGTTGTCTGTGTCTTATCTCATTTTTCATTTTATCTTTGTATCCCCAGATCCTTGCACAAAATAGACACTTAATAAATGCTTGCAGGATTGGGTTGTAAATTCCATAAGGACAGAGACAGTATCTTATTTAAAACTTTGTATCACTCTCTCCAAACCCTTAGTCCTCTGAACGTTGTTTCATTTTTTCACTTTGTATTATCAAGGGCCTACAGTACCTGGCCCACAAAAGATGCTTAATGAATGTTGAAGAAAAGATGGAGACGGGTCTCACCCTGGAAGCTACCTAGTCATGTGACATTGGCCAAATCACTTCATTCATCTGAATTTCAGTTCCCTCCTTCGCTTCCTCCTCTCTCTGACTTTTCATGGTATGGAGGTGACCCTGGGTTTTTGAAGGTTAGGCTAATGAAGAACAAGCTTTGACAGGTCCTACTAAGTTGTAAATGTTTCAACTACCAATCTGGAGACAAAAGCCCAGCCTCTCTAAATCAAAAGGCTGATCCCCAGAAGGCTGGTTATTATTATTATTGTCAGCTACAGCAACTCATGAAGGTGGTCTACTAAGATATAAATGACTGCAATCTGCATCTGTAGAAGGATCACTCTTATATATGTGATGATACAACTGTAAGTCATTAACATCAACTTCGAAATTCCACTACAGTCATCAATCTAGACAACTTTAGTTATCATTCTACCAAAACTACACCCACTGAAGATAATCTCAAATTCCAAAATGCTCCTAATGTAACAATCATCTCTCTTTGGGGTGGAGCCCAACTACTCCACACCAAAAAATAAATACACACACACACACACACACACACACACACACACACACACACACGGCTACTAGTTGCCACAATTTGTATCACAACCATCCAACCTCTAGTAACCTACATACAATGGAAAGGAAGAGAGGAATAAGCACTTATAAAGAAACTACTACATGCCTATCACTATCCTAAGTACTTTTTACAAATATTATCTCATTTGATCCTCACAACAATCCTGACATGACTGAGGTAGGTACCTGAGAGGTAGGTGCTGTTACTATCTCCATTTTACAGTTGAGGAAATTTGAGGCAAACAGTTTAAGTGACTTGCCCAGGGTCACACAGCTAGTATCTGAGGCTGGATTTGAACTCAGGGCTTCCCGACAACTCTAGGCCCAGCCCTCTACCCCCTGTGCCAACAGCTGCCTCAAGTCACACTGGACTGGAGTCAGAACCTGGATTCATATCACAGTTCTCATGCTTACTGGCTGTTTGACATTGGGTAAATCATTTCACCCATCTGAGCCTCAGTTCCCTCATGTGCAAAATGGTAATAGTACTTACACTACCTAACTCAAAAGGTGTTGGTGTGATCCTTCCTACCTTCCCAGTCTTCTTACACATTTACTCTTCTTCAAGAACTCATGCTGGCCTATTTGCTGCTCTTCACATATAACGATGCTCCATCTTCTATCTGTGCCTCTGCAATGGCTGTCCCCAATGCTTGTAATGCACTCCCTCCTTACTTCTATCTCTTGAAATACCTGGAATCCTTTAAGATTCAACTTAGTATCATTTTCTTTATGCCTTTCCTGATTCTCCCTGGTAGCTAGCTCCCTCCCTACAAAAACTACTTTCAATTTGTTTTGTACACACTTGCATATGGGCATGTGTACATCTCCCCCTATTAGAACACAAGCTCCATGAGGACAGCAACAGTTTTTCTGTTTTATATTATACTTCACCTCCAAAGCTTAGCACAGACCCTGGCACATGATAGATGCTTAATAAACACATGTTATGATAAACCTTAAAGTGCTACAAATTGTGTTTAACACAATGTACATTACATGTGGTACACTGAAACCTGCTTAAAGAGATAAAAGTATAGTTTCTCATTGACCTCAAATATAATAGTCTTACTGGCAGGTTTCACTGCACACAGACTATAAATATGAGCTGACAGTGAGGAGTGATATATCATGTACATTTGTGTTTATTTTAAACAATGCTTAGCACATTTGCAGGTAATCAGTCGGTCAGCTACCATTTATTAAGCATCGCCTATGTTCTGGGCATTGCTGTTCAGCAAAAACCAGCCTACTTTCAGAAAGTTCAGAGTCTAACGGCACTCAATATCCCTTTCACTTATAGCAATCCCAATGCATTCTCTCTGTTGACCATCCCCTCGATAAACCTGAATATGTCATTCGACATCCCAAGGGCCTCCATTCTCACTCTCAACAACTCCACCAAGGATACCTTCTTGCACTTCAATTCCATTCAACAAGTATCGGCGCTGCTGCGGCCGGCGCTCGCTGAACTCAGAGCTCTGCCTCCCTAACTCGTTCCTCTTAACCCCGATTCTGCACTCCCCCCCAGTCTCCTGCTCGAGGTAACCCCCCATCCACCAGGACCGCCTCCTACGGAAGGCCCCCACACACCCACCCGGCGCCCATCTGCTCCAAAGCTTCAGCCTCCAGCACACGCTGCCATCGCCCTCCATCACCTGCTGCCATCCGAGACCTCCCCCCTCCCCGCGCATCCCACCCAGCAGGAGAAGGGGAGGGGGCTGGAGGGATGGGAAGGAGGGATGCTTCTCCACCCACCAGACGAAGTCGTTGCTTTTGTCCTCGTACGAGTTGATGAGCCCATTGCAGAGCGGGGTGAGCAGAGGCCGCTTCCTGCTGCCGCTGCCCGAGCTGCCCCCGCCGCCGCCGCCGTTGACGGCGCTCCCGGGCCTGGTCGAGCCCCCGAGCCGGGAGAGGCCCGCGGCCAGCGCCCCGCCGCCCCCGCCCCCGCCACCTCCGCCGCCCGAGCCCGACACGGCGGCGGCCACCAGCAGAGGCCGCACGGTGGCCCCGAGGCCCCCGGAGCCGGCGGCCCCGCTAGACCCCGCCGCGGCCACCACCGCCGTTAGGGACGGGGGCGACGGCGACGACGACGACGAGGACGACGACGAGGCGGAAGTGACTGAGGAGGCCGCGGAGGAGCCGGGCCCTGTCCCAGCAGCGCCGGGACCAGCCTGGCGGCTGCCGGACATCGTGACTCCCCCCTCCCCGGGCTGGGCAGTCGGAGGAGAGGGAGAGGGACCGGGGACCGGGGACCGGGACCCGCCGCCGCCACCGCCTCCCTGCAGCCTCAGTGCATCCTGAGGACGCGCACAGCGCAGGGGGCGGGGGCTGCCACCCGGGAGGGAACAATAAAGTTGTTTAAAAAAAAAACAAACAAACGGCAGCCGGCGGGAGGAAGCCGGGGAACTAAAACACCGGGAGGGGGAGGGAGAGGAAGAATGCGCTCTCCAGGGCGCAGCTACCAGCCCGAGTCTTGTGGCAGCCAACCCCGAGCAAGGCCGGGGAGAGCGTGCGCACGCGCACTCGAGACGGAGGCCGAGAGAGAATGGGGAGGGCGGAGGAAGCTAGAGAGGTACAACTTTATTGGCAGCCGTCTCATACACACAATACACACCCATGGCGACGGCGACCACTGCCTAGCTACGGAAGAATTCCTTGTTGAAAGCTTTATTGATTGACGACGTACAGCAGAAACTGGAAGTGGGGCAGGGTAGGAGGGCAATGAGCAAGGGGCGGGGGGATGAGAAGCGCCCAGAGAAGAGAGTGGTCCTCAGTGGAGGAGCCGAGGCAAGCGAATCCTCAAACGACTGCGCAAGCGCATTGTAGACCGTGCATATCCTCATTCCTAAGAGTGAGGAGACCTAGGGGGAGGTGGGTGACATAGGGTGGTTTCCGGCACTGCGCGTGCGCAGGATTCCCAAGCATTCCTGAGGGAGGAGGGCGAGGACCGCGAGAAGAAAAGGAAAGTTAGCCGGTGTAAGCGGGCGGAGTGTTTCAGTGGAGAAAGCAAGACTCAATGCGGAGACTAAAATGCCTGCGGTGGTTCAGAGGGTGCAATTCAGTTCCACTAACATTTGTTGAGGAGCTGGAATTTAGGAGTCCTGCATTCAGCTGTCGTCCCCCACACCTCTCCATCCTCATCTACGCCTGGGGGCTTCCCTGAATTCCTTCAAGTCTCCGCAGAAATTCGACTTTCTACAGGAAGCCTTTCCTGATTCCCCTTTAATTCTAGTCCCTTCCTCCTTATCTCCAGTTTATCCTGTATGTTGCTTGTTTG